ACGGCTGAGGGGTGACATGATCGAGGTTTATAAGATTATGCATGGGATAGAGCAGGTTGAGAAAGAAGTACTTTTCTCCCTTTCTCACAATACAAGAACTCGTGGGCACTCAATGAAATTGCTGAGCAGTCGGGTTTGAACGGATAAAAGGAAGTACTTCTTCACCCAAAGAGTGATTAACACATGGAATTCACTGCCACAGGAAGTAGTGGCAGCTACAAGCATGGACGGCTTCAAGAGGGAATTGGATAAACATATGGAGCAGAGGTCCATCAGTGACTCTTAGCCACAAGGTATAGATAGGAACTCTCAGTCTGAGACAAGTGATCCTCTGTATTCTTGGTGCTTGGGGGAGGGCTTCTAATGTCCTGGCCCCACTGCTGGACCTCCTGGTGGCACTTGATATTTTTGGCCATCGTGTGGCAGAGTGTTGGACTGGATGGGCCATTGGCCTGATCCAACATTGTCTTCTCTTATGTTCTTATGAAATGTGGAATTATGGTTTTATGCAGGGCTTTTTCCCCTGGGGGAACATGCTGAAATGGAGTTCCAGAACCTCTTTGACAAAATTCTTTTTTAAAATGCTTAAAAGCTCATGAGTTTTCAGTATACAGATTGAAAACTTCATTTCTGTCTTGAGAGTTCCAGCATCCCTTTCTTTTTTTAAATACAGCCCTGTTTTTATGCATTGCCCACTAAAAGTTCACAGCCGCCACATTCATTTAGGTACTTCACACAGATAACAATGGATGGCTCCCACATAGAAAACATGAGCATTGACCAGCTGGTACATATATTGTGGCTGACATCGCCTGCTTATGTGCATTATCCAGGGTCCCTTACAGGCTCTACCTGCTGACTGAGCAATGTGCAAAATCGGTTGTTGACGCTGCCTGTCTGTGAACATTCTTCTCACTCTTATGTGCTTAGCCATGTTGGGCTGAATTCACTTGAACTGCAGCATAGATACATGCATCTGTGTCTTAGTGGGATCCATCCATCCATCCATCCGTCTGTCTGTCCGTCCGTCTGTCTCTCTGTCTAATTTCTCCCCTTTCTATTTTCACTTGTTTTCTTGTTTCGCCATCTTCCATTCCCTCTCCAAATGTTTGGGATTCTCTCCATTCTCAATATGCCTTCTATCTTGTGTCTTAGACTTCATAGTAGAGAACTATGACTGCAGTTCTTTGACACCTACCTGGGAGTAAGATCGACTGAATAAATTCGGACTCAGTGCTGAGCAAGGCTCCGGTCACACAGGCCGGATATCGCGGGGGGGGGGAGGCGTGGCTAATTGCCCCGGCGCAGTTTGATCCGCAATTACGCAATCAGATGCGCCGGCGGCACACCACGGGTCCTTCCCTCAGTGCGGCGGGTAAACGAGGGACCGGAGGGGAATGCCGCACGCCGGTGCGATCACACCACAGGCGTCTGGAGGCAGCCCGTGGCAAACGTTTACTAGTACCTTGGAGGTACTAGTTTTTAAACGCGCGTTGTCGGCGGTAAGCCACGGGTGCACTCCACTTCCCAGATGTTGGGGTGTGATCGTGCCCAGATAATCCGCCCACCATCCGTGCCTCTCCAACGGCAACTTTGCCATGTGACCGGGGCCCAAATCTACTTTCCCAGGACAGGGAGAGTATGTATTACTATCACGTTTTTTTTAAAAAAATCTTGCTTTCACTCTGAAATGCTCAGGGCATCATATGTGGCTCTCTTGGTGTTAGGGTTGCCAGCTCAGGGTTGGGGAATTCCTGGAGATTTGGGAGAGAAGGTTTTGGAGGGTGAGGTTTGGGGAGGGGAGGAACCTCAGTGGGTTATAATTCCATAGAGTCTGCCCCCAAACCGGACATTTCCTCCAAGAGATCAGCGGTAATTCAGGGAGTTCGCCAGGCTCCATGTGGAGGTTGGCAACCCAACATCCCTCTGAGGCAGGTTAGTCTGAGAGTGACTGACCCCAAGTTACCCACTGAGCTTCATGACCAGGTTAGGTTTTGAACCTGTATTTCCCCAGTCCTAGCCCCAAACTGGAACCATTGCACTACCCGGGTACTTACAATCGACTAGCTCTACACAATCCTGTATTTGGCTCAAGTACAGTAAATGATACTAAAGTCTAAAGTATACTAAATCCTGTGTACAGTTTGGTGCCGGTTTGGTGCAGTGGTTAGGAGTGCAGACTAATCTGGGAGAACCAGGTTCGATTTCCCATGCCTCCACATGCAGCTGCTGGTGTGACCTTGGGTCAGTCACAAGTTCTCTCAGAGCTGTTCTCTCAAGGGCAGTTCTCGAAAGAGCTCTCTCAGCCCCACCTACCTCACAGGGTGTTTGTTGTGGGAAGGGGAAGGGAAAAGATTGCTCCTCCTCCTCCTCCTCTTGTTTGGTGTAGTGGTTAAGTGCACAGACTCTAATCTGGGACAACCGAGTTTGATTCCCCTCTCCTCCACTTGCACCTGCTGGATGACCTTGGGCAAGCCATAGTTCTGGCACAGCTGTTCTTGAAAAAGAGTAGTTTCTGTCAAGAGCTCTCTCAGCCCCCCCTGCCTCACAGGGTGTCTGTTGTGGGGAGGGGAAGGGAAAAGATTGCTCCTCCTCCTCCTCTCCTTCTTCAAAAAAAAACCTCATCTGGACAGCCTATTCTGGCAGAAAAAGGGTTCACATATTTGCCTCTCTGGGAAAGGAATTTATTCGAAATAACTACCTTTCCTTGGAAAGAAAAGAGAATATTGGATACCATTACATTTCTTCGACTGTATCTTTTTGTTTCACACCTGCAGGCAAAATGGAAGCTCTGAATGACAACCAGACAAGGGTCACTGAGTTTCTCCTGGCTGCCATTTCCCCAACATGGCAGTCCCAAGCCACCCTCTTTGCTATCTTCCTCCTGGTCTATGCTGCCACCCTAATTGGGAACACCCTGATCATCTTGACAGTGGGGTCTGACCCTCGGCTACGTACGCCCATGTACTTCCTGCTGGGTAATCTTTCTTTCCTGGATCTCTGCTATTCCACCGTCACTGCCCCCAAGATGTTGATGGACTTCTTGGCCACAAAAAGGAGCATCTCTTTCGATGGCTGTATGACCCAGCTCTTTTTCCTCCATTTTGTGGGTGCTGCCGAGATGTTTCTCCTCACTGTCATGGCCTATGACAGGTATGTGGCCATTTGTAAGCCTCTGCATTACCCCAGTATCATGAACCGGACACTCTGTAGCTGGTTGGTGGCAGCTTCTTGGACAGGAGGCTTCATCCACTCCACAGTCCAGACGATCCTCACCATGAGGTTGCCCTTCTGTGGGCCCAACGAAGTGGACAACTTCTTCTGTGATGTCCCACCGGTCATCAAGTTGGCCTGCACTGACACATACGTCATTGAGCTCCTAATGGTCTCCAACAGTGGCCTTATCTCCACCAGTTCCTTCATCATTTTGGTGATCTCCTATGCTACCATCCTGGTGAGGATCCGTTCCCCTGAGGGGAGACGCAAAGCCCTCAATGTCTGCGCCTCCCACCTCACAGTGGTGACCTTGTTCTTTGGGCCCTGCATCTTCATCTACGCTCGGCCTTTCTCCACTTTCTCAGTGGACAAACTGGTGTCCCTCCTGTACAACATCATCACACCGATGCTGAACCCCTTAATCTACACCTTGCGGAACAAAGATGTGAAGTCAGCCATGGCTAAGCTGAGACGCAAGGAAGTGCGTTCTGACAGGAAGTTGTCAATGTGAGGTGGATAGAAAACTAGGAGCTGCTCCTGAGAGAACTGTAGCTTTAGTGGAAAGATATTGACTGAAAGTATTTCATAGGTGGGGGTGGCAGGAGAAAAGGTCCTCCCTCAGGTGCCAGCCAATTGAACTTTGGTTAAGGCTGGTTTCCTAAGGAAGGGCCTACAAGCGGATCTGTAGACCTTCATCTGACAGCACAACAGCTTAGTGCGCAACTACTATGTGACGGTTACCATTGCTTCTCGATTCCCTCTGCACAATTAAACATGCAATAGGCTTTGCAAACCATTTCTCAGTCTCTCCTCCTCAGCTATCTCATTTAACAACAGTGGCTCATCCCCACCTTTCTTCTTCACCTTTCCTGTCAAACTGCAGTTTGGGAACTTCCAGGAAGTTCTGGGGTGGAGCCTCGGGAGGGCAGACTTTGGGGAGGGGAATGACCTCAGTGGCGACGTGATGATATTCAGTCCACTCTCCTCTCCTCAAACCCCGCCCTCTCAGTCTCCACCCCCAAAGTCCCCAGGTTATTTCCCAACTGGACCTGGCAACCCTGTGTGTCCCATCTGCCTTCTGAGACGTGTGCCAGCCTTGTCGGGCCCTGAGGCTGCTGGTGATGCATTTCCAGGCCCAGTCCTGGCTTTGTTCTCCACAGCTTCTTGTCAGACTGCCTGCCTCAGTGGTGTCTGGGCAAAGCAGGTGAGTGTGGGGGGTGGAGCCTCCACCCTCAGACAAGAAACTTCAATGGATCAAACCTACCTAGTCCCACACCCAGCTTCCCTCAGAAGCCAACCAGAATAGGTTGTCAGACCACCCCCACCCCCGGTGGAGGTGGGGGTCCCCTGCTGACAGGCCCCACCTCCCCGTTGCTGATCAGCTAGCCAGTGGTGGGGAACGTACCCTGATAAAGAGGGCGATCCATACGACGTGCAGTGATGTATCTACGACACTGGCCACGTGACCTGGAAGGGACGTCATCACACCCAGGATGCCAGGGCGATGCTCTGGTATTTGGACAAACTCTATGGTAGAAGCCAAATTTACCGAGGAGTTTTTGCCCAAGAACCAGAATGTCTCCCCAATGTCTCGGATGTGATGATGTCACTTCCGGGTCACATGGGCAGTGACGTAGACATGTCACTGTATGTTGGATGGGCCTCCCTGCTGCTCCTGGTAAGCCTTTTCACTCCCCTGCTAGACCTGGCAACCCTAAGCCAGATGCCCCCAAAATTTGTACAAGCAAGGCATGGGTGCTGAATATGTCCCTTGTTGTTGCCTCTGATATTCAACAATAGACTGCCTCCGAACATGGAGGTTCTATTTAGCTATCCTGGCTCATAGCCAATTAAGAACACCCAGGTTGTGGTAACAGATGAAACAATTATGAAAAGTCGGCCTGCCGTAAAAGAGCTGGATTCAAGTCCAGTAGCACCTTGGAGATCAACAAGTTGTTCAAGGCAGGGGTCATCTCCTGCAGGAGCGCACAGGAGTGGAGCTCCGGCAGTAAAAAGCCCAGGGGGCGGGCACATGCAACAAGCCCTCAGTCGGAGCAAGAAGCAGCCAGGTAAGTTGCAAAGCTCCCCCCGCCCCACCCGCCCAACACGACCCACAGACACCTCGCCA